CCAACCGTCGCGCGCAGCGTTGAGTTCGCCAGCAGCACACTCGAGTGCAGCGGCATCGCGCCATGCAGCACAATCGTGCCCTCCACCGACGTCACATTCGTCATGTTGAGAAGAGCGTGCGGCATCAGGCGCGCCGTGCTCTCGCTGAGGCCGCCGATCCGCAGCTGCGCGCCGCCCACGAGCACGCAGTGGCGCAGCGTCACGTTCAACGCGTCAGCGAACGCGTCCATCGAACGCAGGTCCACCGCCACAGTGATCGGTCCGCTGAACAACACCGAGTCGAAGCACGCCGTCGCACGCCCGCCGCCAACCGTCACCGACTCCGTCAGCGTCACGCCACTCACGCAGCCCTGCGCACCGCCACCACCGCCACCGGCCCTCGCAGACGGCACGTCGAACGGCAGGCACGCCTCGCCCACACCGCCAGCACGGCAGCTGCACACGCAGTCGGAGAACGACGCCGTCAGCGCATCGAAGCACGCCAGCGCAGCCGCACAGCCGTCGCACGGCACCACGCTCACAGAGGGCAGGCCGGCCATGAGGTAGTCGCCGCTGCTCTGCAGCACCCGGCCGCCGGCACGGTTGCACTGCACCGACACAGCGCCGCTCGTGATCGCCGGCCCGGAGACAAGCGTCGCGCCAGTGGCAGCGCAGCGCACAATAGACACGGTACCGCCGCTCAGCATCACATCCGACAGCGACGCCACAGACGACGCCTCGCCCACCGCCCACACGTCGTGCAGGTCCAGCCACCCGCCGTCACCGATCGTCCCACCGTCGCAGCGCACCAGCGACGACGCGACAGACCCCTCGACGCCCACGAAGCGCAGCACCAAATCAAACACCGCGAGGCGCTCTCCAAGCACAAAGCCGCCGCCGCTGCTCACAACCGACACGTTCGTCACGGAGAACACCGAGTGGCTCCGCAGACTGAGAATCGACGAGGACGCCACATGCATCGCGGACGCGGTCGGACCGCCCAACGCCTCCAGCGACACGCCGTCAAGCACCACCGCGCTCGACAGCAGGTCCACGCCGCCGCCAACGTACACCGCAGACCCGCCCGCCTGCAATGACCTCAGCACAGTGCTGCTCACACGCAGCTGCGACTGCAACAGCGACGTCGCGTGCAGCACAAACGGCGACGCCACCGCATCCGTCAGCCCGCTCAGCTGCGAGTAGCGCATCGGCCCCGCCGTCACAATCGTCGAGTCACGGACCGTCACGTTCGTGTGTGCCGGCAGGTTGTGCACAAACACAAGCGAGCAGTAGCTCCCGGACAGCCCGCTCACGCTCACCTCCAGGCTCCGGTCACTCGCCGGCTCGCCGCTGTAGCCCCGCACGTAGATCTGCGCACCGCCGTCGCACACGCAGTTCCTCAATTCGATGCGCAGCGCGCCGGGAAGCATCGCCGGCACGTCGAACACCACAGCCACGCCGTTCGTGATGCACACGCCGTCCATCAGCACCGTGTCCACGGCGCGGCCAACCGTGATGGCTCTGTCCACCGTGCCGCCCCGCAGTCGCAACACCACCGCATGCACCGCGGGCATCCACGCAGCAGCAGCAGCCAGCACCAACGCCACAAGCAGCGCCGCACGCACAGCCAAAATGGCCCTGCGCCGCACACGTTGCCGGCTGCGCGGACACGCATCCACCGAAGACCGCATCCACCGACTCAGACACGTATCAGCAGGGCTGTCGCGTTGTGTCGCACTCGCCCCGTCGACCATTCCTCCTGTCTATCAAATCCTTTCCTACAGATGGCGAATCCAGTGACACGATTCCGCCAGATCGATATCCCAGTACTACCAAACCTAATACTGCAATTAATCCCTAACACCTTGAAAAGATAGTTGTGCTGGCAAAGCCAAAGTATCTCGAACTGCACGCTCAAAAAAAATAATAATAATAATAATAAAAGGCAGAAAGAACAACATTAACCAAACACAGTGGCACGCAAAAACATCCGGTCATACACAATCTCCATCACAGTACAGCCGCCGACACAAAGCCGCGCAGACGCAATAAATTCAGTGACACCATCACCTTCCCACCACCCACACAGCCCCATACAGCCACCGCGCGTCGTGGCGTGGATACAGACTGGCATCGGTGGTGTGCCAGCAGTGCTGACAGGCGGCGGTGGACCAGTCCTTCGCTCTCCCCTAGCAGGACAGAGAGCAGCGGGATTGGCCGGCAACTCTCTCCGTGCGGCATGTGTCCTTCCCGTGTTTGCAGATGGGAGTGGTGTCCCCGTTTCCCGGGAAATTCGCAGACCGCCGTCAGCGAGGGAGGTATTGATCATCGTTCTGTGCGAGGAGCGGGCAGCGGGTGCAAGATGGCACAGAAACACATTCAGTGCGCCGCCGCGGCCAGGGGCCAAGCAAGGCAAACAGTGACGGATGGTGAATTCAAGCGCATACGGCGTGAAGGACCCATCCATATCACAGTCACCAGGGGACACGCAAGCACAAAGTGTGCGGACAGCACTGGGGATCGCAGCGCGTGCGACTCGGACAGTGTGACGGACAAGCAAATTTTCCTGCTGCCAAGACAGAGCACAAACGCGGTCCCAACAGTACTGCGGCACGGCCGATCCCAGAGGGCAGGGACGCGGTGCCTCCATGCCTTGCGGCATCACAGACCTGGGCTCGAGAGGGCACCAAGCCCCTTCGCACGGACCACAAGCAGCATGGAGAAGTTACGGCAGAGGGCATGATTGCGGTACTCCCGTTTGCGGACATCTTCAGCTGGAGGCAGGCTGCCTCCCGGTGAGGCTGTGTGCGCGTCCCATGCTGCCGCTGCAACACACTCGGCCTGCTCCACTCTGACCGTCCAGGTTCATCAGTGGCTGTCACGGCTGCCGCGCGGGATGGTGCGCCTTGCCGCTCGCACGGTGCATATCCAACCATGTGGTCACAGTGGCCAGAGGCGTTGCGCACACCGAGGTGGAAGCATTCCAGTCGGCTTCACGCAGAACAACGACGGCATGTTTCCGTCGCGGCAGCATGCCTGCCGGGCGCGGGAGGCCGTCCTCCGTCCCCGCAGTGTGGGATGGCAGATGGTAGTCCGAGTCCATGCAAAGGGGTGGATGTCCAGTGGGAGACACGCAGTACGCGTTGCGCAGTCACGTCGGGAAACGAGACGCTGCGGCCGCTGATCCGCGCTGGCTGTGCCGGATCGTCGGACAGCTCACACTCCATGCCGCTTGAGGTGGCGGCGAGGTTCTCTCCTGCCGTCGTGGATCGTGAGCGACCGTTCCGCAGCTCATGGTGCGAATTCAGGTAGCCCGCAATAGGCGCTGCAGGACCAAGACGACAAATGGTGGTCGCAAAGTGACCAGCGTGAGCAATTTCCAGAAAAAGGCCGCAGAGGTTCACCACGTACATGCTGGGGCTGGCCGGTGAGCACACGCGGAAGGCAGTGGTCTCCACGCAGTTGGTGCCACAAGCAGCAGGCACTCGCACAACAAATTGTGGCGCACCAAGAGGGCCACGCCACCGGCACGCCCACTGCAGGTCTGTTGGAAGTCACCGCAGCCAACGCGCCGCGTCGCTGGGGCGCCCTGCTGCCTGCACTCCTGCAGAAAAGCGGTGTCAGGTCGGTGCTGCGCCAGTCGAGCAGCAAGGGCAATCCTGAAGGGCGAAGGGCTGGAAGTTCCGAGTTGCCAGACAACTACGGGGCCATCCTCATCGGGGCTGCGGCTCCTGCGGACACCACCGCAGTGGGTGATGCCGATGGAGTGACTGCAATGAAACGACTGTGCGGTTCTGTCAGTCAAGCTGCAGGCAAACCGCCTCACCGCTCCACAACCAACAGAGCGTGGGACCTTCTCGAGGGGTGACGCCGCCGTGGTCCCCGTCACGCTCGCAGCAACGCCCTGCCGCAATCACCCCCGCAGAGAGACAGGGAAGAGTGTGTGGATGTGTGTCGAGAGCACAGCGACTGTTATCGCCAGAGGAGGCCATCGTGGCACCGTCCGTCACGCACCAGCACACACCGAGCAACGCACGCACCCGGCAGGGCAAAAACAAAGAGGATAAAAGAATGACCCCAAGAGCAGGCAGCACCTTCACGTATGGCGGGCATCGTGCAGCCGCGTCAGCCGGCCTCCAGCAAAATAGAAAGAGCATTCATGCAGTGCACTGTGCAAATACTTATGTGTGCTGGAGGAGCAGAAGAAAAGATGAGCGCAGGGAGGCACATCAGCACAGCAAGAGGCACAGCTGGATGGCAGCGATACATGCGGTACGGCACAACCCCCATAATCACGCACGGTGGCAGCACACGCCCAACCAGAGAAAAGAAAAGAAAAACACGGCAGCAGGGTGTGGCTGTGTGTGTGGCGCTGCGGGTGTCTGCCAGCCCTGACCGCTAAAAACAAAACAAGAGGGAAAGAAATGTGTGCGCCGCCCCACAGGCCCTCGTCGCACGCCCACACGTCACGGCTCCCTCAGCGCGCCGTTCGTCGCGGCCCCTCCTCATGCGTGCAGCAGGCGAGGCGCACAGGGCCGTCGTCATGAGCGTGTCGGTGGGTGTGCGAGTGGAGCAGCTGGGCGGGAAACACACGGCACCCCTCGCAGGAAGAGTGCAGCAACAAACAATTAAAAGAGGGAAGAGTAGAAAAGAAAAAAGCGTCCACAGTGATTGCCCCAAAAGCAAAAAGAAAAAGAATGGTTTAGTAAAATATATAAACGCTCATAGAAGAAGCAAATTAAAAAAAGCAAATTAAAAAAATTAAATTTACAAAACAAAAAAACAGAAACAGTTACGGTGCTCCGCCCATGCGGCCAGGCAGGACGGCAGCGGTGCGTGTCGTGCAAAAGAGAGCACCAACGGGCCTGCATGGGTGTGCATGCATATATACAATGGGCACATTATTTTGTGTGCCTCGTGGGGTGAGGTGAGGGCGAGAGTCCATGCAAGGGGACACACACACACACAGAGTGAAGGACGAGTGTGTGTGCGGGCGGTGCACGGCTCTCTCTCCCTCACTCTCACGCGGCCACCACCGCAGCAGCAGCCGCACACGCAACAACAAGAAGAAGCAAAAGAGGGGAGGTGGTGTGGGAGACCGCGGTGCTGCCGTCACTGTCGCCTGTATTTGCGGTGGCATTTGTACGAAGGGCGTTTTTATCTTTCGCGGATTCTTCGCCAATTTCCGCGGGGTGTTCATGCTGTTGGTGTTGTTGGACTTGTGCTTCATCACTTTGCTGCTGCTTTTCATGATCTTCTTCCTCTTCTTCCTCTTGTCGTGTGTGTCCAGTGCCGGATGTCGTCCCTGCCAGTCCTTCGGGTAGCGAGGAGTTGTTAGCCTCTGCAGCAGGCGTCTGATCTCCTGTTTGAGATTCTCCCGTCGTGTTAGATTGATTACTTCCTGAGGATCCCGCTGTACCATCACTGCTGCCGGCAGGAGGATCAACAACAGTAGCAACAGAAGGATCTGAAAGACCTTCAGATGAACCAGAAGAAATGCCACCGGTGACATGACCGCCAGTAGGAGTTCCACCGCTTCCTCCAGAAACAGAACTGCCCCCACCGCCTCCAGCACCAGAACCTCCTGCACCAACAGAAGCCCCTGGACCTCCAGCAGGAGCAGCAGCAGGAGGAACGCTGTCGGTGCCTTGACCGCCAGCAGAAGCCCCTGTACCAGCAGGAGCCCCTGGAACAGCACCAGCAGAGCCAGAACTGTCTCCTCCAGCACCAGAAGAACCAGAACCAGAAGCTCCGGCAGCGCCAGCACCACCAGCAGCAGGTCCACCAACAGAGCCAGTAGAAGAACCACCACCAGGAGAAGCACCAGCGTTGAAAGTCCCACTTGAATTCGAATTGTTCGTTGTTGCAAGAGCATCATCTCTTCCATTCGAGGCTTCAACGGCAGTAATGGGCAGTACTGACCGCAAAGGCACCGTAATCGCAGTTTTATTACATCCGTCAGGCATGTGGGATCCATTCTCACCCAACACTCCCGACGCCATGCAGCCACCCAGTGCGTTGGTGTCAACGTCCCTCGCATAAACACCGCTAGCAACGCACCACAGCACGCAGAGGGCACACACCAGCAGCACACGGCCAGTCATCATCATCGCCATCACTCCTGTCACTTGCGTGCAGCCTTCAGCACAAACTAACTCCCGTCAACGCAGAGTGAAAGCAACAAAAGGCACGGCACAGTAAAATACAGCAGCAGCAGCAGCAGCACGCATTTCATGAGAAATATTGAACCAATGAAAGTGAAAAAAGACACAATGCGCTGCAAGTAAAGAAAAGCACAGAAAACAAGGAAAAACAAAAGTAAACAGGCAGCAATAAAGTAAAACAGTAAAAACATACACAAAAAGGAGCTGCACAGTATGGCTCCAGCGCGCACGCCTCTATCCTCAACAGTGTGTCCACGCAAACAGTTGTGTGCGTGTCGTGCGTATGCGTATGTTTGGGATGCGTTCAACGTGACGGATGTGGCGCACAGCACGGAGCACACAGCAGGGCAGCGGAAGCAAAGGAAGCAAAAACACAATCATCATAATTGCTCTTACTTTATACATCGGACCACAGTAGACGCACACATAAATCCCCGCTGTTGAGTGCTGGCACGCACAGCCCGCATGCACCTCTTCAGCCCACAGCGGTGCACGCCAGCGCGGATACGGCGAGCAGCAGCGAGGCACACACCCACGCAGAGCTGCTGAGGCTGCCGTCAATTTCGCGAAGACGTGACGGTGCGCGGGTGGTCGTCGTGGTTGGCGCCTCTGTATTCATCGCCGTGTTAAGTAGTGCCTCTGGCGCGGTGGTTGTTGTGGTAGTCGTTGTAGTGGTTGGCGCAGGGGCATCGCTATCTGATACCTTCATTGCAGCAGTCGCACTTGTTGGCTGCTGCGCATCGGCTTTACCTGTCACTTCCAAACTAAGGGGCCTCTCTTTCGCTTTGTTTGCCGACTCAGTGCCCCCAGTAGGTGGCTGCTCCGGATTGGTTGTAATTTGTCCCACCGCAGTAACGGGCGCACCATCGTGTGTCTGTGGCGCGCTGTGAGATTCTAGTGTCTGTTCCTTATCACTCGTCGGATTGGACGTCTGACCCGCATATTTCTGGCTTCCTCCCTTCAGATTGTCGGGCGTCCCTGATGCCTGTTCCGTCTCGACTGTTGCCATTGGCGCAAGGGTTTCTGAACCTGCAACATCCTGATCCTCATCAACAGTTGTCGCACACACGGACGGGCAGCAGCACAGGGCAAGCACCAACAGGGCGCACAGCAGACGGCACGTCATCATCGTGAGTGTGGTCGTTCAGTGGTGTGGAGCTGATCTGCACAGTGAGGGACGTGGAGAGCAACAGGGAGACAAGAGGTGCGGCAGACACACACAGAGGGCACACCACATGAGGAGAGGGCAGCAGCCAGGCATGCACCGTACGCCGCACACCACGCACGACACACACTCCAATCCACGGCAGCAGGCACACACACACAGCCCTGCCGCAACACCAACACACAGATGGAAGAGGGAGAAGCAAACAAGAGCGGCACACAAGGCTCCACCGCATGCACATACGGCGAGAGCGGTCCGTCGTGTCGGCACCCCTCACGGAGGGTACGCACACACACAAGAGGAATAGGTACAGCGCACACAGCAACACAAAAGCAAAGTAACAGTAAAAAGGGGATGATCCCCGCACACCACGTGGATTGTTGGCCCACGAGAAGCGCAGCCAATATTCATCACAAAGAAACCTTTTATCTTGTTTTAGTTGTATGCTACTACAGCAACGAGTGAGCAGCGCAAGGGCCGTCCGTACAAAATGGCAAGTATTCCGTCGCAAACGGGCCGTCGTGCGGGCTGGGGCAGTCACAAACAGTCGCGGTCCCTATTCCCAACGACGGCATTCCGACAGTGGATGAGGCACAGTTTCCCGTGGTCCGTCGGGGAATCAGCAGCCCATGGCGTCTGTGATGCAGCGGTGTCGGAAGAGCCTGTTCCATATTGAGTACCCGCGGTTGTGCTTCCTGCATGTTTGGTCTGCTGGCATGCTTGGCACTTTCGGTGGAGACCTGAGCGCGAGGCGCCTGTTCGGAAGACGGTGGCGCCATTGCGGAGTCCGCATGCGAGGCGTTGTTCGACCATCGGAACGCCAGGATGGGCACGTCGGGCAAACGCCCTCATATTGTGGACGAAGGAGAAGACGCCGCTGCAGACTGGGCAGGAGAACGTCAATCCGGCGCTCGTTGGTCAACAAAGATTTGCGGTTCTCACGCGAGGTGGAGGTTCCGGAGGCAGGAGCGGGCCGATCTCCTCGGTGAGGGAGGGAAGGCGCTACCGACATAAAGGGCCGCCTGTAATCTGCAGGGCGTGCGCCATTCTACCGAAGAGTGGGCAGGAGTCGCATCGCAGTTGTGCGCGGAGTTGCGGGTCGTGGCACAACATTTGGCCGGACACAAGCAATGGAGTTTTCGCTATACCGACGATCGCCGGTAGTGGTGTTGTGCGCCTTCCTCTTCCTCCTGGACTTCCTTCCAGCATAACCTCTTGACGGCGGCAAGGAAATCCACGTGCCAGATTGGTACACCCCATTGCGGGAGGGAACTTGCAACCGCGGCTTCTTTCTCAGCGGCCTCATTGCATGGCGCACCGCAGCGCGACGGAGAGAACACACATTCTACAGAGTGGCCTCGCTTCACCAAGAAAAGTGGCGTAATCCAAATTCCTTCAGTAACGCAGTCTCGCACGGCCAATGGGGCAACGCGGAGTGCCTCAATTGCCGACAGGGAGTCCGTAGCCACCAGCATTCGTGTGGGCGATTGGGATGTTTCCAGAGGAGGAGGTATGAGACGTCTAAAGCCATTTTTAATGGCAAGGCACTCTGCTCCCTACGAGCATGCGAGCCTGCCAGCTGCTGCACGATGGACCTCCACAGGGAGACCATTTATCCTTGTGGGGCCGTATAATAGTGCAGCGAATCCGGATGCGAGTCCAGCGGGAGACGAAGAACCTTCCGTCCATAATTCAAAATCATAATCCCATATAAAGGAGTAAATAGAGTCAAAAGCCGTGCGCGTAACATCGTCAGAGGCGTCTTTGGACAAAAAGTGGCTGTTAAAATCTCGCTTTATCGCAACGCACAGTGTCCCAGGGAATAATTCGATCTTGGGCAAGAGGAGCACGATTGTGGTTGTGGGGCATCCCAATAATGTTACATACGCGGCGCGATCCATTAAAAACAGCATCTCTCGGGAGCGGGATTGATGTCGCCGCTTTATTATGCATGGACGGAGGCATGGATTCCGAGTAGATAAGAGAACGCAAATCCTCGTAATCATGGAGTCGTATATAGCGTTCGTATTGTGTGAGCGCAAAAGGCCAGAGTGTCTTCCGGAGCGGGAGAGGATTAGCCTTCAAGTATACCGATGCATCTTTCGTTGGCGCGTTAATGCCAAGGGATGTTTTACAACCTTTGCGATACCGTACTTCCATATTATGGAGGTAGGTGGGGACAAGGCATGGGACAATTGCATCGCCACAATACAGTGACACGCTATGAAAGTATCCAAACAAAAAGGACCGCATGGTGTGATGGGGCGCTCCTATCTGTGCGATCAGACGCAATTGGTAACGGAGTGGCATGGTCCGCTTTGCAGCGGTGGAAGCGTGCGTACCAAAGTTAAGAAGTTGATCCATCGTTGTGCCCGGAAAGCGCACTGGGAATGACTGAATGCGTAGGTTCCCATTGCCAAGATGGAGATTGGCCATGTCCTCGTCGGACCGTGTGTGTCTGAAGAGGTGTGGAATAGAGTGGCTTCACTCTTACCGACGTTGATTTTGTGGTTGTGCTCGGCAGTCCATGTCGATACAAGGGAAAGGGCAAGTCGCATTGCCGCAGCACAGGCATGGGTGCCCGCACCTGAGGCAACAATTGCGAGGTCGTCAGCGTACATGAGTGCGGAGGCAGAATACATGTCCTCCAGGCGGCGCAGCAGATCATCCACAGTAGAGGGAGAGTTGGGGTGGCAGGACGCTGCCTTGCGGTGCTCCAGCTGAGGCGAGTTGTTTCCGGGAGTGATGTTCACGAGCGCATGCCATAACATAGCGGCCCCGCAGGTAGTTATGCAGCCAGCGTTTGGTTCGAGGCCAAGGCGCGGAAGTCCGTCGAGCATTCCAAACAATTTCCCATGGCCAACAGTGTCGAACGCAGTCGAAAAATCAATCAAGACTACGAGCGATGGCGACGAGGGTGTCGTGTGGAGGCGCTGCCTCCAGGGCGCGCATACTCCACAGTGCTGAACTCATTCAATCCAGGCTAGTCTTCTGTGCCACTGGCCGGATCCTGAAATTATCTCAGGAAATCAAACAAGAAAGGAAAAAGGAGGGTATCGAAGAGGCGGTTAATTGCCTCAGTGTTTTCTTCTGATAATATATATATATATTCCGTTGACCGCCCACGTGGCCTTTTGAACTCAGATAGGATCTGAAATATTTATTACTTACGAATTGGCACACTTTGGGGGTCCTCCAGCCAAACGACACCGCCGCTCCCCTTCGCCAAGTCCTGAAGCGTAAAACACGACCGCGTGACAGGCCGTCTGCGGGGTTTTCTGCGGACCGCACGTAGGCAAAGAATGCCTGTATTCGGCGAGAGCCCAAAAACCCATATATCTGTTGCAGCTCCCAAATCAAGGCGTGTGATTTTGGGCTGCCTTTATTCGCCGCTCCTTGCAGCGAAGTGTTGTCCACCCAAACGTCCATGGTGGATGGCAAGATGGCGGAAAAGGCCGATAAGGCTAAGCGTACCGCTCGCGCCTCGGCCTGCATGATAAGAAAAGACTTCCTCTCCCATTTCCCTCCGGCAATTTTAACGTCGCCGGAGTCTGGAATGAAAACGGCTCCCCATCCATGGAGCGACGCATCCGTGATGATGGCGGCCGATGCCTTCTCCGTGGGCTTGATGTTTCGCCTACGATTATATTCTCGATCATGTGCCGCAATCTCTCGTCCAAACCAACCGCTGCCAGCGGAAGGTTCGCCGACGATGTCTCCAGCACAATCCCCAGGTCAAGTTCGGACAATCGCCGTCGCACTGCCCTGATGAAAAAGTAGCAGTCGCACAAACACGTGCACAAAATGGCCGCCGCGTACAAAAAGCGTGACGCCACAACCTCCATTTCCGCGATGGTCAAAGAATTGAGCACCGGCATGTTGCGTACAGACCGGACAAACTTGTCACTCAGGGATACCGCCTGATGAGTGTGATCAAACCGCACCCCTAGAAAGATTTAATGCGTAGCGCCCAATTCGCGATCCTCCCCCATCCTAGCGTGACGGCTGTCCGCATTACGAAGCACTTGGGCCTCCCACAATGTCACATCGCTTTTCGACCCCTGCAATGCGTATATCATCGATCCAAACGCCGACACGCACCAATGGAGGTGCAGCCCAGAGGCGGTGAACCACCGTCTTCACCACCGCAATTGTCGAGGTAATAATAATCTGGAGAATTTCTGGGCTGGCCCTGTATCCCATTGGGAGCCGTGTGAGCTCCACCAGCGTGCCGTCCTCCACGCGGCATCGAAAGAGATGCCGAGTCTCCCGCGGTAAAGAGACTTGAAAAAGGATGCCTTTAAGTCCAGGCAGAAAGCGGCCTCAGTCATCACAGGCGGCAAATAATGGGAAATGTGTAAAAGAGGAACATTAGCCTCGTAAGGGTCGTCTCTGTTCTTGTCGCGTGGCCACGCGATCCATCGTCGTCGTAAGCGGTGGTTTTCTCCTCCACAACTGAGAAAGGCATTATCCATCCGCCTGTTGTTGTAGACGAAGCGTCCTCGATAATTCCCGCTTCCTTCAACAATCGCGCGTCGGCCGCCGGAATCCTCCGTGAGCCTTCACGCGCTTTACCGGAGGAAGACGGAGGGAGAGGGGACCGCCCGACGAGTCCCCAAACTTGCATGAGCCTCTCCAGGGTAGCCGGGCTCAACCGGCTCTTGATCCACTCTAGATTCAATACGGGCACGTTGACCTGCTGTAACGGGATAGCGTGTTCATCTTGTGGAGCGGCCAGACGCGTCCTTGTCGCGCGTCTCGTTATTGTAGCGGCATGATTGTGATTAAAAATCATGGGAAAAACGCACCTCCGCTCTCAGCCAGGGTTCTTGACCTTCCGCCGTTTCTCCCTTCACACCAATTTGACCAGCGACAACACCTGGGTCAGCAGTGTGGTGTAATTCCATAAATATCGAACAGTATTCTGGGAAGGTCGAACGGGTCGACGTGCTTCGCCAACTGCG